ATTTTTTTTTTGATGTGGCTTTTTTTTTTTTTTGATTTTTTTTTTTGATGTGGCTTTTTTAAAGCAAAGAATTTTTCATAGGGTATGTCTAACTTTTCACTAACACAGGCTCGGGCTTCTTATATTTCTTGACTTAACAATAGTTTACTTTTCAAAGGCTTTCTCCATTGACATCATTCGACACAAAGATTCCATGGATGAACTATTCAGTCATCGTGGTGAAATCTTTGGCACATGTGGGGAAGAGCAAAAAGCTATATTACAGGTAAACTACATTTATTTATTCACCATATTGTTCTTATCTTGATCATGGTGAATTAGAAGTACAATTGTGAAATGATAGTTGAAGTTTTTTTTTCCCTCTATTACTGGTTGTGATAACTTAAGTCCAGCTTGATGTTCTGGGGCATTCAGACTCCTAACCCTGTGTTCACAGATGTCTAAACAGCCGTACTGTATAATGTGAAATACACTGCAAATCCATCTTCTTTATAACAGAGGAATTGCTACTCATCCTCAGTCCATAATGAGTTATCTTTGAGTTACCCTTCCAGGTAGATAGATTTTTCAGAACCGTGTGCAGATATTAATTTCTGCTTCAGGTCCTTCTAAAAAATCATTACCCATTTCTAAAAGAATTGACCAACAGAGTCCATTTGTACACCAGTTTTGTTTTTTATAAAGGGTATGGGTAACCACTGTTTTCTCAGAAGTCTTCATAAATTGAGCTGCTCATCCTAAACATATAAAGCATAAATGCCAGGTTTGTGGAGACTTTTATCAGAGGGAAAAAGACAAATGAAACTTGATGAGCAAATACCCATCTTAGCCCCTGAGAGATTCAGTCAAACTGGCCTATTACAGTAGTGCTGTATCTAAAGTTATAAAAGGTATTCACTAAAAGGTTAATTTGGGTGTGTTGTGCTTGTGCTGTTTTACTGTTTGTGAAACTACTTTCATATTTTAAAAATTATAAAATTATGTATATGTATGATAGAAAAATTCAGTTGAGTATAAAGAAAATAATCACTTGTAAGCTTACTAGATTAATCCATATTTTTTAGCATTTTAGTGTGTATTTCTTTAAACTTTTTAGTGTATATATATATATATATATATACACACACCTATATATACTTACATTTTTACTTTAAAGAAGGGTTCATCATGATAATAATGCTTACATTTTTTTTGTTTGTTCACAGGAAAAGACAGAGTCTCTAATACAACAATACGAAGCCATTAGTCTGCTCAATTCAGAGCGTTACGCCCGCCTAGAACGGGCACAGGTCTTGGTGAACCAGTTTTGGGAAACATATGAGGAGCTCAGCCCCTGGATTGAGGAAACTCGGACACTAATAGCACAGTTACCTCCTCCTGCTATTGATCATGAGCAGCTCAGGCAGCAACAAGAGGAAATGAGGGTAAGGAGCGTGCCGAGTTTTATTTAATCACAGAACTGAAAATGGGCTCTACGATTTATTCAAAAACAGCCTATTTATTAGTACCTACTGAGTATAAGTAAATGTTATGAAATTAATTCTTAACCAGTTAGAATTTTTTTTGCACAGTAAAAATACATATCTGAATTATTTCCTTTGTCCTTTAATATGAATCAGTTAAAGAATAAGATTATGGGGCTTCCCTGGTGGCACAGTGGTTGAGAGTCCACCTGCCGATGTAGGAGACACAGGTTCGTGCCCCGGTCCGGGAAGATCCCACATGCCGTGGAGCGGCTGGGCCTGTGAGCCATGGCCGCTGAGCCTGCGCATCCGGAGCCTGTGCTCCGCAACAGGAGAGGCCACAGCAGTGAGAGGCCCGCGTACCGCAAAAAAAAAAAAAGATTATGGAGATGTCAGGAACCTGGGTATTGCAGAAGTGAACAAAGCACCACGTAAAAATCAAGGGAGTTTAAAATCTTCCCAGTGACAGTGGGGTGTTACTTGGTTGTGGTTGGGTGGCCCTTTCCTTGTGGTTAGGCCCTAGCTGGAGTGAGAGCCTTCACTCAGGAATATCAGAAAGCAATTTGCTGCCTAGAGTTGAGATGAAAGGGAAATTTGTAGACACTTCAACTGATGCTGTTACCATTAAAGGTAGTTTTTTTAATGTTTATTTTATTTGTGGTGTATGACTCATGTTTATTGCTATCTCTGTATTCCTGTAAGAGGAAGGATGTAAACTGGAAGTAGCCAGCAGTATAGTCAAGGAGCGGTTGGATTACCAGAAATGTTGCTGTTTGTAGCTGGTCCTGCTTAGTGTCTCCCAGTCTGGGCAGGGAGACAGACATTAAATCGTGCAAACTACAGTAGAGTACAGAGAAGTATTTACGAGTACAGAAGACAGTGGAATACATTTGTATTGGAGGGTGAGAGTGAGAGACGATTTCTGGGAAGCTTCCTGGGTGGTGGAACATGTGAACTGGCTTTTGAAACTGAAGAGAATTAGAGTCAGAGTCCAAGACTTAGATTTTATTCCCTCCATAAACGGTGAGATGTTGGGACTTGCTGGGTTTTAGTAACTCAGTTTGTTCATTTGGTATGAGCTCTGATCAAAGTATTTAAACAAACAAACTGGTATAAGAAGGCTCATTTTATTTTAATCCATATTTCTTTGCATAGCAACTAAGGGAATCCATTGCTGAACACAAACCTCATATCGATAAGCTGCTAAAGATAGGCCCTCAACTAAAGGAGTTAAACCCTGAAGAGGGGGAAATGGTGCAAGAAAAATACCAGAAAGCAGAAAATACGTATGCCCAAATTAAAGAGGAGGTGCGCCAGCGGGCCCTGGCTCTGGACGAGGCTATTTCCCAGTCAGCTCAGGTATGTGTGTGTCTTAAACTCATATAACCTTCAACTGTCCTTTAGTCTAAGCAAGAGGCTCTGTATCAGTATGCCCCTATGCTCAGGAATGTCCAGACTAGTATGCTGGTGATACATTATCAGGAGACTGGGGGCCTTTGCCTGTCTGCATTTTTATTCCAGGGAGCATTGGTTATACTGACAACCATAAGAAGGGTGAAATGCATCTTGGCTGGTATATATTGCCTGTTGATTGTTTCCTTGAAAATTTTATATTGTGATAATCCTTTAGCAGGGATGATTTTGGGTAAATTCATCTTGAAGCAACAAATGCCTCAAGAAGTCAAATTCCTATTGGGCCTGTTGCTTTCGAGATTTAGACAGCACATTCGTTTTCCTATTCACGAGGCCACCAGCTAGCTCCTAGTTCAGAGAAAGATGCTTGACTAGGGAGAAGGTAGAGTCAAGGAGAAACAAACCACTAGCAGTGGAGTTTAAAGCATGTAACTACATACTTTCCAACTAATATATTACTGTTATGTCTGGGTAATTTATTCCTATGTTTGGTCAATATTCTTGGTTAATATTTGTACTTACTCAAGTTTTTCCCCCCCACCTTCCGTCCCATCTCTCACTCACATTGTGGAATGTGTTACTTTGTGTTGTTGCTGCCTGCTCCTGTCTTCCCCACATCGTCACATTTCATTGTTGTGTTGACCGCGCCCACCATTACAGATTACAGAGGTAAGGTACCCACCCCCTTGGGATTAGGGTGTTCTTACGAAGCTGAGAATTGAGAGGATTATTTATAAGGAAACTTCCCTTAACGTTAGTGGAATAAATTTTATTAATGCAGTTTATTATGCCAGTTTCATTTGGGGCAGAACCTAGAAGTGAGGGAGTGATGGGAAGGGGTTTTGTTTGTTTACCGTGTTATTTCCTATAGGACATTTAACAGTTGGTAAGCGTTATTCTAATCAATGAATCCAGAGTTGGCTTTAGGGGGCAGACTTGTCTGTTGTGCTCCCTTTTGTCCCCTCTCTGCTTCATATTACAAATTAAAATTTTACAATTATAGATATGTTGTTCAAAGTACCAGAAAAGTGGAAAGGGCAGTAGTTCTCTCGGAATAAGGTTAGATTTGGCCTTCCCTAATTATCTTTCATCATGCCGACATTTTAGTTTCTTACTATTACACTGGTGGGTTGTCAAACTGCATGCCATGATACTTTTAAACTCCAAGTCATGTAGCATATTGAGTTCCCCATCCATTTATACAGTTGGTGGAGGGCATCTAACTTCTTGGTCTACTCTGTTGCATGCAACTGTCATCTGAGATGTTGACACACTGACTCTCACTGGTTTCATAGTCTTGTCCCTTTTTCATCACGGTAGTTGGAATTGGGGAAGTATTGTGGCAGCATTAAGGATTTGAGTTGATTTTTCGTATAGTAAGTAATAGCTTTTTGCTTCTTAAACATTTACTTTTTCTGATGGGCCAGCTCTGGTATACTATGCCCAAAACAGTTTTTTAGACAAACCCAACACTTGACAGCCGTGGGGCTAGGCTGAGCATAGGTTTTATCCTAAACAGTAGTAGATTTATACACTGGCCTTAATCCCTAACATTTACCCCAGAAGTGTGACAAAGTACTGCTGTGATGGCTAATGGTCCAATATTTGTTTAGTTCCATGATAAAATTGAGCCCATGTTGGAGACTCTGGAGAATCTTTCCTCTCGCCTGCGTATGCCACCACTGATCCCTGCTGAAGTAGACAAGATCAGAGAGTGCATCAGTGACAACAAAAGTGCCACCGTGGAGCTGGAGAAACTGCAGCCATCCTTTGAGGCCCTGAAGCGCCGTGGAGAAGAGCTCATTGGGCGATCTCAGGGAGCTGACAAGGATCTGGCTGCAAAAGGTGCTTGATTAATCTAATCATTTTTTAAAAGTCGATAGAATAAATTCTAGGCTGTGGTTACCTCCAGCATCCCACCAGATGTACTTCATTGAATGCAAAGGCAGTGCCCAAGTAATGAGTATTCCACGAAGTCATTTAGAATTCAGAACACATCTCCCCATTGAAATAAGGTTACAATTGGTAGTTAGATTCCCAGACCAGGAAACAAATGCTCCTTTACCACCTAATACGAGGAAACTGCAGTACCAGTAGTGGGTAGAACATAACTACCTTTTATAACACTTTCCATGGGAAACATAGCAGGTTCAACACAGAAGACTGGAAACAGAGTTCTCATTTCAGCCCCTTTATAAGTATCTTAGCAGTACTTTTATAGTAGATGATAACTCATTTCCAGATAACCTCTGTGATCTCTTTATGTGGGAGACCAATGTAAGTGATAAATGAGAGCATAGAAATAATTAATAATAAAGCTAAGATAGAAAACTATCCTTCAGTTATACATTTTTAGAGACTTTTAAGGATAATTTCAGTGAAAATAGGATTATATCTAATACCTGATGAGGCTGATTTTAAGTCCTTAGAAAAGGCCTGTTCACTCTTCTGTACCCCTCAGAAATCCAGGACAAATTGGATCAAATGGTATTCTTCTGGGAGGACATCAAAGCTCGGGCTGAAGAGCGAGAAATTAAATTCCTTGATGTCCTTGAACTAGCGGAGAAGTTCTGGTATGACATGGCAGCTCTCCTCACCACCATCAAAGACACCCAGGACATCGTCCATGACTTGGAAAGCCCTGGCATTGACCCATCCATTATCAAACAACAGGTTGAAGCCGCCGAGGTAAGAAACAAAACCCCTTCTCTCATGTGTTTGTCCTGTGGGAAAGCACTGTATCCAACTATGTTGTGTTAACTGCTTAGCCAGGCTGAGTGCCTTAAAAGTTTTTTTTTGTTTGTTTGTTTGTTTGTTTTAAGCTTAATAGTATGTCTTTACACTAGAACAAAAATACCTGCTCATTATAGATTTTTCTTTTTTTAATGTACAAGTTTTACCACTTTGTATAGGTGCATACAACCGCCACTGGTCGTGATGTAGAGCAGATCCACCACACAGAAGTAGTTCTGTCATCAGTTTTAAACTTAACAATTCATATTAGTAGCATGTGCTTTAAAAATCCAGCTTTGCTTTCATTTCTGAATTTAGTCTTCTCTTTGGTGTACTTATTTCTCGAGTAAATTTATTTACTGTAGAAAAATAGAAAGTAGAAGAAAAAAATTCTGGACTCATCATCCAGAAATAACAATTGTTACTTCCACATACCTTTTTCTAGCCTTTTGGGGGATCCTAGTTTTTATTAAATGCATTTCTCACCTCATTTTGTCCGTTTAGCCCAAGGCAAGACTGTCTTGCTATTCTATATTCTCCCTCTTAACACTCATATCTTTCTTTTACTTCAGCCATTTCCACCTCCCCACCCCTGTCATTGCCAGTCCATGAACTATGTTTTAGGATCTGGCACAGAACTGACTTTCTTTGAGATTATATAGCCTAGCATTCCTATTATGCTCATCTCCCAGCTCTTAGATATGTGACTTTTGTACTCTAGTATTTTATCCTAGTTAATTTTCTTCTCTGTAATAGACTTCTGGTTGTAGATTATGATCTCCTTGGACCTTTAGTAAATTATTGAAGCTCATTGCACCTTTCTCAGACTGTTTTATGTATTTATTGTTAATATATAAAAATATATTTGATGTATATATAAGAAAAATAACCAGACTCTGAAGCTTCACTGTTTAGATGAGTGAAATATTAAGAACGCTGGAAGACTTTAATGAAATTGACCGTTCTGTTCAACATCTGCTGTCGATGGGGGTATAAATTACATTTGCAAAGTTTGGGAAGTTCTCTTCTGCTTTCTGTTTTGGCTTATGTTCTGTTCATTTACATGTAGACTATTAAGGAAGAGACAGATGGTCTGCATGAGGAATTGGAGTTTATTCGAATCCTTGGAGCAGATTTGATTTTTGCCTGTGGAGAAACTGAGAAGCCGGAAGTGAAGAAGAGCATTGATGAGGTGTGGAGAAGTGGACAAGGGGTTCAGACAAAACGTTACTGGACTCACACTAAGAGTGGGATTAATTGGAGAGTCTGATCCACTGTTTTTACCCTAGATGAATAATGCCTGGGAGAACTTAAACAAAACATGGAGAGAGAGACTGGAAAAGCTTGAGGATGCCATGCAAGCCGCTGTGCAGTATCAGGACACTCTTCAGGTGAGAGGCCACGAGGTGACCACCACGGAAACACAGGTTCCGTGGTCTCTCTTTTTTATTTTTTATTTTTTTTTCCTTTTTGCGGTTCATGGGCCTCTCACTGCCGCGGCCTCTCACGTCGCGGAGCACAGGCTCCGGACACGCAGGCTCAGCGGCCATGGCTCACGGGCCCAGCCGCTCCGCAGCACGCGGGATCCTCCCGAACTGGGGCATGAACCCGCACCCCCTGCATCGGCAGGCGGACTCCCAACCACTGCGCCACCAGGGAAGCCCCCCGTGATTTCTGTCATATTCTGAGTCCAGCGTGAGTCGGTCACCTTCACAGGACTGCAACATTCTTGAACCAAAGACAGGCTATTTCTTTATTTCTAGCCAGTTTCCCACTTGTAGCAAGAAAAGTTCTGACATCCAAATTTCTAGTCTTCTTGCCATGTTTTTCATCATATTATCTATCCTCACAGTGGCTGTAGAGTAAAGCTGGCCTTACTGTCAAAGTCATTGCTTGCTAGAGGTCCCAACCCAGGTTATCTCAAAGCACAGCACAGTACGGTAGCTTCAGCACATTGTGGGCTTGCTAGCTGGCCATAAGAAATAGTAGTTTATTTTGGACATTATTCCAGTCGTGTTGGCTTCATCCTTAAGTCCCCATATTACTGAAATAAAGATCATTATCCCTTATTTCTGCCCCCAACCTGAGAGCACAAACAACACAAAGTATTGATACTTTGATTTATCTCTGCTTGTATTAGCAGAGATCATGCTAATTGTCTCCCAAGTCCTTATGTTTTTGTTTTTTGACTGTTTATTTGTATGTTTATTTTAGGCTATGTTTGACTGGCTAGATAACACTGTGATTAAACTCTGCACAATGCCCCCTGTCGGCACTGACCTCAACACTGTTAAAGATCAGTTAAATGAAATGAAGGTTTGTACCTGGGAAGGGTTTTTGAAGAAGGGTTGCTTCTTTTTCGTTTTTAAAGACTTGGTTTGATGTTAACATTCACTACGTCTTTGACAGGAGTTCAAAGTGGAAGTTTACCAACAGCAAATTGAGATGGAGAAGCTCAATCACCAGGGTGAACTGATGTTAAAGAAAGCTACTGATGAAACGGACAGAGACATTATACGAGAACCAATGACGGAACTTAAACACCTCTGGGAGAACCTGGGTGAGAAAATTGCTCACAGACAGGTAAGGCAAATGGTAGAGTACATAAAGTGGACTACTATCTACTGTTTTCTAATTTCCTAACAAACGTTCCCTTTAAATCATTTTCTGAGTAGCATAAGCTAGAAGGTGCTCTCTTGGCCCTTGGCCAGTTCCAGCATGCCTTAGAGGAGCTAATGAGTTGGTTGACTCACACTGAAGAGTTGCTAGATGCTCAGAGACCAATAAGTGGAGACCCAAAAGTCATTGAAGTTGAGCTCGCAAAGCACCATGTAAGTATTTTCATTTTTCATCTCTAAGCCTATTGGTTTGAGACCAGATATTGCCATCAGAAGCTTTTTGATGTTTCTGTACCTTTTGATGTCGTGTGTACCTTAGAGAGCCAGGTTTAATGATACCTATAGAGGTAAATTATGTTGTTCAACATTTTTTAGGTTCTAAAAAATGATGTTCTGGCCCATCAAGCCACAGTGGAAACAGTCAACAAAGCTGGCAATGAGCTTCTTGAATCTAGCGCTGGAGATGATGCCAGCAGCTTAAGGAGCCGTTTAGAAACCATGAACCAGTGCTGGGAGTCAGTGTTACAAAAAACAGAGGAGAGGGAGCAGCAGCTTCAGTCGACGCTGCAGCAGGTACATGCACTATCCAGGTTAGGTGGGTGGGGCTGTGCACATGACAGTATTCAGAAGGAAGTCCATCTAAGTCGACAAAAGAAAAGCAGTTTGGGGTAGAACCCCCTCTGCCTTGAGGGTCAGTTCTGTGCTAGACTTGTCTGGAAAGAACAACCTTTAATTGGATCATTCTTTTTGGATTAGTTTGTGATCCAGTCCCTCTATCTACTATTCAAAGTTAGTAGATCTTTGCTGTAACGAACCTTGTTCACAGATTTAGTTATTTTTTGGATCAAGTCAGGTCCCTCCGTATCCATATTCAACAGTACCTTAGTCAGTCAATTCATCAGGTTATATCAGGCATCTCTGTTACAGTGAGGTCTGAAGGATTCTGCTCAATTCTGAAAATAAGTAAATACATTGGCCCCATAATCATCCAGCAACAGAACAACCCTGCATGAGAGCAGCCTAAAATTCCTCCCTCAAAGATTCCTCATGTGGTCATTTAGAAAGTTTACTTCTGAAAATAGAATTGACTACTGACCTTGCTAATGTCTTTTCTCAAAAGGCCCAGGGTTTCCATAGTGAAATTGAAGATTTCCTCTTGGAACTGACTAGAATGGAGACCCAACTTTCTGCATCGAAGCCCACAGGAGGACTTCCTGAAACGGCTAGGGAGCAGCTTGATACACATATGGTAACAGATTTCTTGAAATTGAGCATAAGCATCCCATTTTCAGTAGCTCCTTTCCGAATTCACAGAGATCTATGTAGTTGGGAGTCTACAAAGTAGTGCGTTTTTACTGACAATATAGTACTTGGGGATTGCTGCTTAGACAGGCTTCTAACACCCTGCGATAGGCAGCGACAGGAAAGAGTGAACCAGAAATGCCCTGGGGAGCTGGCAGATTTCAAGTTAATCAGATTGACTGGCACAAGAATATTGATGTGAAGGTGAGAGCATCAAGACAAATAGTGACACATATATGGTTGTATTTAAGAAAAAGACTTCTGGGACTTCCCTGGCGGTCCAGTGGTTAAGACTTTGTGCTTCCACTACAGAGGCTGAGGGTTCGATCCCTGGTTGGGAAACTAAGATCCCGCATGCCGCATGGAGCAGCCAAAAAATTAAAGGAAAAACCTACTTGAGGGGGGATTTAGGGAAATCCAATAGAAGCTGACAGTATTTCCAGAAAGTGGCTGAGAACAAGAGGCAACATAATTTCTAGGCATATCCCTCAGGAAAAGGAGAAGTAAATTATTGGGGTCTATTTTTGTGATCTCTGATCCTTAAAAATTCTGTTGGTGACAAAATTATTTTTATATTAAGGAAGAATGGTGGGTTTCATTTCCTAATTGTTCAGCAGTTGAATTGAATCCAAAAGAAAGGATTTTAATCAAAATGAGACCTTCCTTGGCTTTTCCAAACTGTGCTTGTAAATCTGTGTGGGTGTCTTTCAGGGAATTTGCATTACTGATATCTTTCTTGCCCTTATAGGAACTCTATTCCCAGCTGAAAGCCAAGGAAGAGACTTACAATCAACTGCTTGACAAGGGCAGGCTCATGCTTCTCAGCCGTGATGATTCTGGATCTGGCTCGAAGACAGAACAGAGCGTAGCACTCTTGGAACAGAAGTGGCATGTGGTCAGCAGTAAGATGGAAGAAAGAAAGGTATCACCACAAAATTCAGTTTGATTACTGTTTGAGTAGTTTGCTTAATGATTACATGCAATTCTCATCTAGTTTCTATGGAAGATTTTTCATTATATTGTAGCAAGCTAGCAGAACTGATGTCCTCAGAACTGGCTTTGTGCTAAATCAAGCCATCTTTTCTGCCATTACATTTCTATTTTCCATCCATGTCAAATTGCATTGATGCTGATAGTTTCTGCCGATACTTGCTTTTATAATATTGCATTCCTTTTCTGCATCTACCAGTTAAGGCATTACTGCCTGTTACTGCTCAGTGATGGACTTAAAAATAGGTTTTGTTGGACTTGGGAGGTTGGGAACAGCATGCAGGGAGTATCACTAATTATTCCTCACACGGAATTTGATGTCTAGTTACTAAAACTCAAGAGCAGTAAATTGTATGTCCTCCTCTTACTCTTCCTCAAAAATCAAATTCTCCTCAAACGAAAAGTGATCAGAGATCAAGGCATTTGCCCCCAAACTTGTTTTTTATGAGTACAGAGTTCTAGAATATCACTCTGCATAGAGTTTCTGTGCTGGGCAGCTGAAACGGTAAAATATGTGTCCAAATCCATTGGCCACATCCATTGAACAAGTAGTCGTTAAGCATGTATGTACCAGGCACTGTGCTAGGTGTACAGTGGAAAACAATAAAGGCATGAACTCTGTCATCATGAACTTTAATGTGCAGAAGGAAGTAAACCACATCTTCACACATATAAATGAACATTTTGAGAGAAGGATTAATTTCCTAGGGTCCCTCTAGTGTGGGGTCTGGTAACTTCGTTACATGAAGAGTGGGCAGAGGACCTGAGTGTATGGCTGTGTTCTAATTTTTGGACAGGGTCTTGTCTATAATTCCTGCTGAATGTAGAGCTAAGACTAATTAAAGAAACCAAGGTAGCTTCTGGCTCAAAATCAAGTAGTTTCTAGAGGGTTTTGACACAGTGGAACAAGTTGCCTCAAGGAATATAGTTTTGACCCTTGAACAACATAGGTTTGAACTGCGCAAGTCCGCTTGTATGCAGGATTTTTTTTCTTCACTAAGTATATCTACAGTCCTACATGATCCCTAGTTGGTTGAATCTTTGCATGCAGAACCGTGGATGTGGAGGGCAGACTTTAAAGTTACACACGGATTTCCAGCTTCTCGGAGGATCGACACCCCTAAACCCATGTTGTTAAGGGGTCAACTTTAGTTGTTGAATTGATCGAGCAAAGGCTAGCTGTCAATGATAGTTATTTCTGATTTTGTAAGAACATTACATTCCAGGTTCGCTAAAATTATTTAAGCCCTGTTGAAGACTATATAGATGAAATGACATGGAAAGATTTCCTGCCATCTAGGAACTTGCAATATATTTATTGCTAAGTATTTCTATGATAGACTTGAGGTAGATTTCCTTTGTTCGCTGAACTTGTTTAGACTGGGTCTGTGCATTTTTATAACATTCATCACAGTGTTTTTTAGGTTACAGAAGTAACCTGAAAACACCAAGAGGAAAGTAGAAAGAATACACAACCCATTTAACAGCAATGAACATTTTCAGTGTACTTCTGGGGTTTCTTTCAGTGAATATTTTGCATATATTCATTTTTAACAACCTGCCATTATTCTACTTTGCCTGCCTAGTAGACGGGCCAGGGTCAGAGGCCATCACCCAGATGTTCGGGGTAGAGGTCTCTGAGGATGGAGCTTGTAGACTGTGGAACTGGGATGTACTCGTGGAGAGTAGCGCACACCCTGAATGAGCCACTCTTTTTTGTCATTCTGATTTAGATCGTAATGACTAAAAATTTACATCTATGTAAATTGTCACATTTTTGTTTGAAATGTTCTGGCTTTTATTACTTTTGTTGCTGTAGCATAAGCATAAGTTTCAGACTGAGACTTTTTCAAGTGCCATATTTCCTGAAAACATACTCAGATAGAGAGAGCCCTGCGGTGACTGTCACCGTCACAGTCAGGTGCTTCTCATTTAGTTGTGTTATGCCACAAAAAGGACATTAAAGGAAGCTGAGACTTTGCCCAAAGTAGGTTGCAGATCCTGCAGCTGTCACCACTAAAGGGTCTGTTCACTTAACATTTATTGAATGGCTTGAATGCCTTTATTCCTGTTCTTTAATGTCTCAGGAAGTGGGGAATGGCAGAGAAAGCAACTTAGCTGCAAACTGTGCCCTTTCCTTTTCCAAGCACAGTTGTTTCAGTTTCAAACACTAGCACTAAAATGTCCCCTTCTTTGCAAACAGGGCATGTTTGGAGGTTGATTAAATGAGGCTTCCTTCTTAGAAGTCATTTCACTTGGTGTACAATTCACGCCTTTGTCCTTAAAACTATAATTCTTGAATTTGGCACTTTTCTCTGTGTGTGTGTGTGTGTGTTACTTAAAATTTAGTCAAAGCTGGAAGAGGCCCTCAACCTGGCAACAGAATTCCAGAATTCCCTGCAAGAATTTATCAACTGGCTCACTCTAGCAGAGCAGAGTTTAAACATCGCTTCTCCTCCCAGCCTGATTCTAAACACCGTCCTTTCCCAGATAGAGGAGCACAAGGTAACAATGGCATTACGATGCTGCCTTCCCTTTGAAAGCGCCAATTGAAAGTGATGCTCCTTGATCTTATCTCCAGTTTAAAAAGAGCAATATTTTTCCCTCAGGTGTTTGCTAATGAAGTAAATGCTCATCGAGACCAGATCATTGAGCTGGATCAAACCGGGAATCAGTTAAAGTTCCTTAGCCAGAAACAGGACGTTGTTCTGATCAAAAATTTGCTGGTTAGCGTCCAGTCTCGATGGGAGAAGGTTGTCCAGCGATCTATTGAAAGAGGACGATTGCTGGATGATGCCAGAAAGCGGGCAAAACAAGTAAGTTATAAAAGAAAGATACTAATTTACTGAACAACCTTGGGCTGCATGTTTTGAGTCTCCGCATTGGTTCACATAAAAGTGCTGTGTAGTGTGCATATTCATTCCTGTTATAACGTATTTCTTACATAATTTTAGTTCCACGAAGCTTGGAAAAAACTGATTGACTGGCTAGAAGATGCAGAGAGTCACCTGGACTCAGAACTGGAGATATCCAACGACCCAGACAAAATTAAACTTCAGCTCTCAAAGCATAAGGTACAGCAGTTCATTGCTCTTAGGTCCTAAGCTTGGTGTTCACTGATGATTGTAGCTTGATAAAAACACAGAACTAGTCAAAAGAAAACTAATCGGTTAATGTTAAACGGCCGAGATCATAGAGCCATGTTGTATCTGGACAGTGTCTAACCATGACAATTCCTCATTTAAATAAGAGTTCAAACAAAGTGACTGTGGGAGTAACCAGCTAAAACTGTGGGCTTTTAGAAATAGTCATGCACTGCTGTATGTGGCACAGACAAAACCTTATAAATTTCTTCAGGATAAGCTGTTGTTAATTTTAGTTCAAGAAGTAGTGACATTCATACTATTTCTGGTTACCCACCTGAAAACTCGATGTCATCTGACTTTTAGCGTGGTTTTTTTTTTTTTTTTTTAAATCTTTTTGAGAACAGGAGTTCCAGAA